CCCCCCCCCCCCAACAGTCTCCTGAGCCATAGAAACTTTGAAATTTTAAACCAACGACAGCAGACGCCGATAACACCATCACTAATTCAGACATACCAATTAGGATCCTATTGTAGATTTTTAGAAGACGACGCCCAACCAACCAGTTGAGAATAATTCCAATTCGAATAAGAGACCCTTCGTGAGGAAGCGCGGAAAATTGCCCATCATCAAGAACAGAAAACCCTCATCAGGAGTGGAAGCAGACGCTCTGGCTCAAGCTGTGGGGCGGGTATCGATCAAAGTGTCAGACTGCTTACCTTACCTCAAGTGTTTCAATGTGGAGGACATTGTAAACATTCGTGGAAATTTCTCTTCTCAAAAATATATCTTTGCGATACAACGGTAACGAGCAACAGTGAATGAAGAAGATCAATGAGAGGCAGATGGATGTAGCCAAGACGGGGTGACTTTATTTTTTTTTTTTTTAAAGGGGTTGAAGTATTTCTATCAACACATTTTGTGAGTGATATCCAGAGAAATGACCAAATTGCGGTTGCCCGTGTGAACCCAAATGGTTTTTCCCAAAACTCTGGTAAGACAAAAAAAAATCAAAACAGTGGAAACGTAACTCGCACGTGAACACTACCATCTAGCATCAAGTACACCTTGAGTTGTTTTTTACACTGTCCCACTGATGATATGCATAATTGTGTGGAAAACACCCAACTAGTAAAGTATACATCACATAACTGCCTCTTCTCGAGCGCTAAGAGCTTAGAGATTACTCCGTCAGTGGTCTTAGGGTAGGAAGCGGCAAGATATATCTTAAGATCAGTTAGTTTCAGGAATTGTGAACGTGTGTAAAATCAGTATCCCAAGCCAGGTAACCACAGTGCTGGTGAGATACCACAGTGTATTAGAAGTGTGCCCCTGGCGGCTCCTGTCTCAGTCGCCAGAGAAATCGGGGGAAACCTTGACTGTTGCAAGAAGCTGCGGCCGGGTCGTCTCGCGGATGTTCAAGGTGGGAGAAATGGCAACCGCATCCCATGATTTTTTTTACAATCGCTCTTCTCTTTGGAACCATTGCATCATGGGGCTTCGGTGTTATTTCCACCATTTTAAAGAAGAGATAAATCTGGTGGGCGAGAAGCTTTGGAACAAACGGAACAACCAAACGAGGATTGCCGCAGAGTCCGGGCTTTTTTTGTGTACAGTGACCAACGCTCATCATCATCGTTTCAAACTTTTTTTTGTCTCACGAGGAATTTATCTTTTTTCTGTTTTTTTGTTTAAATTTTCTGTCAAAAAACCAAACATGCTGCTTATCTCGTGTATGCTGTAAGTGTGACTCTTGAGGGAGAGGAAACTGACGAACAAAAGATGCCAACTCTGCTAACCGCTTGCGCCGTGGCGGGTGTGACTGAAAGCGCATCCAGATGACAACAAGATCGAACAGTGTTTTCACCCTCTCCTTGTTTTCCCCCCAGCCTCCTCTATTATCATCTATTCCATTGTGTAACACACTCAAGAGTGGCGGAGGCCTGTTGCAATTACAAAGCTGTGCGTTCATGTGGTTAACAAATTGGCCTTTAGTTCCACTGTATGTGTGTTTGGTAACAGGTGGATGAACAAAGTCGTTGCTTTGGTTTTGTCCTCCGTTTTATAGGTGGTGTCTATGTGGGTGACGGGCCGTATTGAATCTCGATGCCATGATGTGATAATGAAATTCTTTGGTACAACCTACTTGCACACCCTTAAGGAAAAAACAAAAGAACTCGAAACAAAAACCCCTAAAACAACTGCAAGTTTGATTTGACGCACTAATGTGTATGTGTCTGATTTTTTTTTTTTTTTAAAAACAAGGTTTTCGAAATTACCAAGTTTTCATTTTGAGATCAGTGCTTTGGGACAGACGCGTGTACGGATTCTGCGGAGGTTTCTGAGGCTGTGCACAAAAACCAGAGCGATGGACAGAACTGCGTGTAATCTTTTCTTATTTCCAAAAAAGCCTTATTGTTATTGTAACATTATGAAAACATTACTGTTGTATTATGATGACTTATTTTACATTACATAGTTGACTTTTTATTTTAGTTTTGGTTTAGTTTTTTAACAGAGATGTTGTATCACATTTTTTTTTTTTTAATTAGCAGGAAAAGAGAAATGCTTATTTGTTCATATTACGTTGAAAGACATTCTATTTTTTCACTGTAGAAATGTTAAGTATAACATGTCTGTGTGTACGTGTGCATATATGTGTGTACGTATGCATATATACTGCACACTCACACATACATATATATTTAAATGCAGAATATAAAGATATATCCAAACACTTAGTATTAATGACATTTTTCTCCTCATCATCTTTTTTTTTATACCACCCCACTTCTCATGTTTGAAAATATCAGTTTTTATTGATTTATTTTTGTTTGTGTATTTGTTTTTTTGTAATCTTAGAAATCTTGTGCGTTTCTTAAAAAAAAAGTGGAGGTGATGTCAGTGCTTTGCTTGAATCACTCACCGATGTTTGACTTCTACCCCTGGGTAGATCCTGTGCCGATGAGGAGATGCCATTTTTAAACCTTGTTGAGATTCTTTATTCATTAACTTGTAGGCATTAGTATTCTTTTGATTCTTTTAGCAACTGTTGAATTATGAACTGGTCTACGAAATATCTAATCAATCAAAACATGTCATAATTGAACTTTTTTGTTTGCTAAATCAGACCAACTTGACTTGCTGTACCTATATGACCATGTACAGACTATGACCCTCACAGTTTTGAAGAAAAATCCTCCTACGTTTTTTCTTTTCTTTTACTTTTAATTATCATTTTCTGACATAATGTGGTTTTCATTCATTTTGTTAGATATCCACTATGATCTAGAATATACCTGTAAATAAACAAATATATAGATTATATGTATTTGTATCATTTAACCCTCAAAATCTCATACTTTGAGTGGGATCAGAATCACATGGAGGTTCTGCTCATACACGACTTCCTGGTGTTTGTAAAGCCTGTTTTCGCTCCTTCTGAAATGTTCTTTCTCCAGCCCTGCTCCCCGCTCTTTAATTACCACTCGCTTTTTTCTGCCTTTAATTTCCCCTGCTAGCAGTTAAACTGGGAAACAAGCCAGCTCCTGTTCTCACACCTATAGCCTCAATGAGGGCATACAATCAGCATCAGCGGTCTGCTGGTATAATTTAGCTGAGGATGGGAAGTTAGTCCACTCCTTAACCATTTGAATTGCTAATCAACCATCAATTCAAAGTCCTGTTACATTCTCATGCTCAATGTGGACATTAACTTCTCCCTGCCCTGGCATTAGCAAGCGTCTACTAGAGAGAAGACGGACCTTTTCTCTCTCACAACGTGGAACTTCAGAAACTTGAGGGGTTTAAAAATTGATTCTTTTTTAATTATTAGACGTCCTAATCGTAAATTCTAACAATAAAGGGATTTCAAAGGTGGACATTCTTAAATTTATCCACTAATGGAAAAAACAATAGCACCCAAAGGTGATTTTCATTCCTTAAATGTTTGCTACAGAGCAAGTCCCCAGCTGTCCAACTGCCTAAAATGCCATGGTTTAATCCACACATATACCATTGTCTTTTGGACAAATGCAGCTATGCTAAAGGCCATACATAGTTCAGTTGCAACATGCCATTTTTAAGTGTTGTATAGAACCATACCATGTGTTTTTGTTCAGCCATGTTTCGCTGTGGGATGCAGAAAGAAATCAGGACTCAATGATACAGAGCAGAGCAATGCAACCAAGGGAAGACCAAGACAACCAAAAACTTGCTGCAAATTCACATTTCCAGCACGTCATTTCTGAACAGTGGGAAACCTTGAGATGTTTCATAATGAACTAAAATCCTGAACTGGTCTTTTGGAACTCAAAAAAGACCGTTAAAAATCACCCCAATGCCAAAACCAAAACCATGGAAGTCTTTGGAAGCTTGTGCACCGCGTTACTCTTTTGACTTCATGTAAAGATGCTAGACTTTTGAAAACAAGACACCAAATTTACTGGAATATGTCGCAGAATATTTTTTGGGGGGGGGGGGGGGGGGGGGGAGTTGGTGGAACTAACAAAAAAACAAACACTAACAAAAAAATGACATCGAAAAGAATAGAGCATATACAGTACATACAGGCAAAATGAAAAAGAACCCAATCTCAGTAAAATAGTTTTTCCTTTGTATAAGGGCCAAGTGCTATCACTTTCAAACTGTTACTTCTAACTGAAACAATAATTGGTTTAAAGCCACTGTGTATGTAGATATGTTGACTTTGTATTAAAGAAATGTTGTCTGAAAACCATTTTGCGTGTGATTTTTGGCTGATAAAGTATATTATAAGTTGGCGTGATTCTTCAAGACATCGTTCCTCAAGTCTGAACATCTGCCTACTGTGCCTATACATATCTGTGTATAATATGCAAACAGCTGGTAAGAGTTATTTAACTACAATACTTCAATTGCACCAGCACTTACTTTGTACATCATCCATTACACTGGAACCTGCATCGAAATCTGTGCTACGAGAGCTCGCAGGACAAGTGATGAAGCACGGAGATGGTGCACTTCTTTTGTTGATAGATGGCTTGATTGGCTTCCTTCTATATTTGTCCACCAGCCTCTTTGCAAACATATCCCGATGGGTCACCTAAGCCCCTCTTCAAGCTTGATAAATGTCACCCAGACAGGCTTCTATTGGTGCAGAGGTAAACCTTCACCTGGTGGTACTTGCTCTCTCATCCATCTTCAGATATTTCATGACCGAAAATTAAAAGGAAAATAATGCTACCAATGTATTTGTCTAACACTAGTTTAGATTACGGCCCACAAGTTACAGTTTGATTAGTTAGTATACTGCGGGTATCCATGAAATACTTGGTGTACTTATACCAAAACAGTACAGGGGGGAAAGAAAGTGGTTAGGTTATAAGGGGTAACCCCCTTCAATATTCTCTAAGTTATGGTATGTTACCTTGTTATGAAAAGCATGCATGAGGTGCTTTAGTCAACGCACACAAAATGTATGACAAAGCATTTAAAATGTGTGAGAAAGCATAATTATTACAGTGTAAGTCCAGGGTACGCTGGCTGTAATATTGAGTGGGTTCTTGCTTATCCCTTTTACAGTGTAATCACAGGGTATATTACAGGCTGTAAAACATAATCTTGTTTAACACTTTAACAAGGTAATTACAATGGTTATGCAGGCTTCAATTAAAAAATACTTACAGTACTTACTTATTTATAGGTACACAAAGCCCAAATTTGTTAATCTGCACTTATTCCCTGTACTTCTTGCCATGTATCTACCATTAACTACCCAGTAATTATCTCATTGGTGCCATGCATATACTACGTATTTACAATGTAATAGACTAAAGTGGTGGTTTGGTGAAATATCTCAATATTTCAAGTCCTCTCTCCACAGAGACCTCACTGTTCATTGCCAATTAATTCACACATGCATCAGTTGCCGATGATGTGCCAACGAGTTCCTTGTCACCTGAATCAGCAATCTGCTAAATCGCAAGAGGAGTGTCATTTATTAAAGGCTACTATACGCAGAATGACTCCCTGTTTCAAGGATGATGTTACTAATTGTCTGCTCAGAAAGCTGTTTCAGTCCATTCTTTTCTAATAGGGGCGATCCAACAGACCGAGTGTGAGGGCAGGCGAAGAAGTGAATTAGGGCGGTGATTATGCAGTGATTCAGACAGCAGCTCATTAGGACCCAGCTAAGCAAGCAATCAACGAATCAATGTGACAGTGGACCCAAAAGCCACAGAAATTTGTAATAAATGGCAAAGCGATAAATTGGATTATCCACAGCCCCGTGGCCAAGCTCTTTCTGTTGCAAATGACAAATCAATCCAATCGTGCCACAAAAAAAGCCAAAAGAACCAGAAAACGGGGCCTTGAGTTGCTCTGGACGCGGAGGTTATCTGTCTGAGATGTGCCTTGTTAAGGTTGTGGTTTTCCAGAGGTCATTTCTGTATGATATTCAGGACTCTAAAATATTCATGACAGACCATTAGGTGTTTATGACCGCTTTTTATAATCAGAGATTTACCGACATTTGAACTCCAGCCATAAAGGTGTCAGAGGGGTACCGCGCCACATGCCTACTGATTCACAGAGGAGAAGGCAACTCAACACTGAGCTCTTGATGATGTAAATGAGCAGCAACGAAACGATTATAAATAAAATGCAGAGGGAGCAGGATTCTCTTGTCACCTTATGGTAGTACAAGTACAAGACATGGATCCACTGCATCTACATGCATCAAATCATTATTGCTATCGCTGAATGTCATTATCATGACTGGAGCACATGGTGAAGAAACACAGAGATATATATAAATAGATAGACGGATGGACGGTAAAAAGAAATCACTGAAAAATAATATTGCATTCATCCTGTCGAAACTGTATTTTGGCTGAATTCTGCTTCCCCTCCTGAAGACAACTCAGACCTGTTTCTAAAAAGGCGTTGCTGCCATCTGCGGGATATTATATGCTATTTCATCATTGTGATAAACACACAATGAAGACCAATTTCCGTTCAATTAAATCAGAGATCGACGTAACGTATTGTCTTCTCGAGTGCTTATATCTTTCTCTATCGTAATGACATCAGCGAGAGACATGCTTTGTAATTTCTTTCATTGTCATACACATTCAGTGTTGATACACCGACACATGGAATCTGTGCATTTAAACGAATAGTTGTGGCTTTGATCAAAACAACTGAAGTTTCACCCTGCAACCACATTACATATGAGACCTACTTTGTTTTGAAAAGCACCTTGAGTGCTGCATTCCCCCCCCCCCCCCCTGCTGTTTGAGCATCTGCCAGCAGTAAACGGTGACATGACTCCTGTCCTGTGTTTATGCTCTTGTGCTGTTATTTCCTATAATCTGTCTTATGCTCCCCTCCATCCTCTCAGTCTCTCTATTTGCAGCCAGAGCTCTATACCACTGAATGATTGCTGCTATTCAAACAGGTTCCTGTTTGGAGAGGGAAGAAGGGCTATACTCTCTCATTTTCCCTTTCTGTCTTGCTCTTTTCACTCACTTCCCTCATCCACCATTTATATTTCTTCCTCTCTATTCACTGTTAGCCCCCCCCCCCCCCC